CATATAAGTAAGAGCACATTTAAAGCCCTTTTTTTTCATTTTTGCTTAAAAAGGTTCAGTAATCCTGTTATATTTCTATTTTTAAATGTTCACAATTTTCGGCTGAAATGTTCGAAAGGAGTATTGGTTAATATTACAGAAAAAAGATATTTTCAGTGGTTATGTTCCAAACCATAAAATATTCCGATGTTGTAGGAACATTGTATCTTTTCACCAATAGACTTATCTATCTCTAAAAATAAATCTTTATTTTTTTTTTCTGATATATGAAACAAAACATTGCCGTTTTTGTTAACATATGGTCATTGTTTTCATTATATAATTAATGCATTATGTAAGTGTCATAATACAAAACTTTTAATGGTAAATTATATGATAACTTGTGTATAAAAGATTTTGTTTCTAGGTGTGCATTAAGATTATATATATATATTTTTGTAATCTGCATGTTATATCATAACTTACAATTAATAAATCTATTGATATCTTTATACCAATTAATGATCAGATGGTACCACTTAGCTATATACTGTGAAAATATTTGCTTATTACACTTTAAATTACATTTGAAATAATCGCAAATCATATAACAATATAGCAGTTTACAATACAGTAAGTATGTGTGCTGAGCTGTACAGTACCAACAATTTAAACGTTCATTGACAATTTAAACGTTCATTGAATGGAAAAAAATACATAAACATCACACAGCGTGAACGCCCAAGAACAAAGTGAAACAGACTATATAAAAGCTAAAGAGATTTGTAAATATTCAAGAACAAAGTGAAACAGACTATATAAAAGTTAAAAAGATTTTTAAATATTCAAGAACAAAGTGAAACAGACTATATAAATCTAAAGAGATTTGTAAATATTCAAGAACAAAGTGAAACAGACTATATAAAAGCTAAAGAGATTTGTAAATATTCAAGAACAACTTAATGTTTGCAATGCAATTCTCAGGTTCATTGTACATCCCTCATTGTCACTGTGTTCACATACGTTTGTTTATATACCTATATATTTTAACCGGTAATTTCTAAGTATGATCGGTGATCAGACAGAGAAACATTTGTCGACATATGATACTAGAGGTAGTGGTGTAAAGGTTTATATAATATATATCCAAATGTCCTCTGGAAAGTAAATATAAGTCATTATCTCCTTTTGTATTATTTTTATGATAAGATGGGGTACGCATTTTCAATATCAATTTCATTCTAAGAATGAAGACTAGTTTAATTATAATCCACTACTGTATTTATAGTATACGTGGAACCAATGTCTTTTGTATATTATATTATAATCACTTTAATTGATAACTCAAAGTAAAACCACTTATATTGTTTAGTGTTTATCGTTTATACCATATCATAATAATGATTGGATTCATTATGGATAACGTCATTAACAATGTGTTTGAAAGAGCACACAGTAGAACCATAATCATTATTAGCTATGTGTGAGTGGTCGAAATGAAATTAAGAGAATATTTAGGATAATGTAGAAGGGGGCAATGCTATCTTTTTGAATAAGAATAGGGTATCCAACTCACCTCAGCCAATTTAAGTTTTAAACACGCGCTAAACACCAGGAATTAATCGATCAATCAAAGTGTCAGTTGAAAAGATAAATATCTCCTTTGTAGTTTGTTCCATGTTAAAAAAAGAAAGAAGAAAAACATGGGACAGCGTAAACACAAACAAAAATGATATTGAATCAATGTTATACAAAAAACGAATCGAAGAGACCCCAAAAGGACCGGTAGTGCTTGAGGGTAAACCTTTCGGCATCATAAATAGCTCTCGTTCGTCATGATTTCTAGGAAATTCTAACCCACCGACCTTTTAATTTGTAGTTGAATAATGTTTTTAGTTTGAATTTTTATATATTTATTTTTAACTAGGATACCTCCAATACCTGGTTTATTTCCACGTGGTTTTGGTCCTATGGCAATGGTGTTTTTTTATTTGAGTCAGATATCTCAAATACCAAGATTACATGCGAAAATTCCATGGATCAAAACAATTTGACAGCGGTTTGAATGTATACCATTGAGTGTTAACTGTGTCAAGATATAAAGAGGTTGTTTGGGTTTATTTGAGGGGGTTTTGTGAACAAAAATTGATATTAAATGGGTTTTTTCTCAAATATAGCCTGATCTCTGGTCAGTTATGACCAAGTTCACTGAGGAATAGCAATCGTTTGAATGCGATACGAGATATATTTGTGTTAAGTTATGTTTTATTGTATCCACAGGGAGGTAACTCCGAGAGGTATACATAAAACACATTATCTGTTAACTGTCTTTTGTATACAGAGTGTTACTTATCATGCTATGCAATTTAACATTTTTTGTCAGTGTCTTTCTCAAATATATACTGTATTCTCCGAATAAAATTAATATGAATTAATAAACATTATTATGTTTGTAATTTTTAATATATTGAAATGCATTTATATAACATGTATGATGGTGAGTTACACAGTTTATTTCATACACAGTAGTGCAATTAGAAAAAATATGTTTGAACGAAACTGTTGCATAACATTACTAACGTTAAAAAGAAGCATTTCAAATCGCCCAAACAGCATTAACATTAATATTTTACAGCTCTTAGTGATCTCATTTTGTTCAAATTTCTTTTCATTACAATTTGTTTAATCAATCGGCGGAGCAGGCATTTTTTGCGAGTACAAGATCGTTTTTCCTTAATGAATTTAATTTGACATCATGTCATGATTGGTCAAATAGTCTGACGGAAAGATCCGAACAATATCTGATTGGAAAATCCATGTTATATACGTACTCTTTTTCTTTTTCTTTTATAACGACATTTTTATATAGTATCACATAACTCATTACTTTCAGTGAAACTACTTTTATGATTTCATTTGGTTTATGTCTTGTATTACATTATCATAATAAAACAATACAGTATTGTTTTTACAAAATTCGTTATTTGTGTACCAGCTGTCACGGGGAGTGATCATGACTGCCTGCCATGATCAATGTCCTCCTGGGCTTCTTGTCTTTGCACAATTACGATATCGTCACTGATCAGCAAGAAAACAGACAAAGGATATTCCCTATCTACTTATGAGATCATTTTCATGTTCCTGAGTCACGTAAAGGATGAGATATTGTGTTGATCTTCCATTCGTTGTCGTCATGGTATGTCTTTTCTTCGTTATCGTTTCGGCTTAGAGTATTTTGTATATGTATTTCAGGAGTGGGAATATCGTGAATTGAATCTGAAGTACGCTACTTTATTGATATTTATATATAGGGTCTCACATGACTTTAAAAAATATATTGATAAAAAGTTCCCCGAAATCTACCTGTAGAAATTAGCCACATAATTAATAATGTCTTCAGTATTGAACAGACTAGCGTGGACAGATTAATACTGAATTTTACCGTGATCTTGTAAGACAACATTGCGATAACGTCTTCTTATTTCTGATACGTCAAGGTAGATGTGTGGATATGTTTTCAGGACACTCTACGTATGTTACACTGTCTACGTATGTTACACTGTCGTCTGACTTAAAGACGATGAACAGTATACGACTTTATTATCAGACGAGATGTTATTTGCAAATATAACTTGATAGTTGAAGGATAGCGCCATTATTCAACTCATTTCAATAAGGTATTCAAGTAATATCATAGCTCAACCTGAATCTGTTAATAGTACTAATATAGCAGGGGGCGCCCATCCCACCACTGACCTCGCTCGACGTTGCTGAACTAGTGAGAGTGTCGCTGGATTGCCAGTAAGGCAGTATCTTCCCATGCCCTTTGGCTGTTACAATAGGAGAAATGTTTTAAATGTTGATTAGATAGTATATAAATGTTCCCGGATGTAGTAAATACAGCAAAGGGAAAAACAGCAAGATAATACCTGCCTCTACCTGTCTGTCTGTCTGTCTGTCTGCCTCCCTGCATACTCGTAGCAAGTGCATGTATTGAAATCCTTTGACTTTGCGATATAAACTGAGAATTTTGAACATTTGTTGAAGATTTAAGCCCTACAACTTGTATTAACCTGATTATCACCACTCTTTATTGCAAGTCAATACATAATACAAATCAATACATGTTATATTCAAATGTTTCACCTACTTAAGACGACCACTTACAAAAACGACAATTCAATAAAACAAAAAAATATATTTAGTAGTTTACTTTTGAAAAGCAAAAAAAAAAGGCGAGCTCAAAATTACATGAATAGTGACTAATTAATTACAAATCGACAATTCAATAACAAAAAAAAACTATATTTAGTAATCTAGTTTTGAAAAGCATAAAAAGGCAATCTCAAAATCACATGAATAGTGACCAATTAATTTCAAAACGACACTCCAATAACAAAAAAAAATAAAAAAAATAACAGTTTAGTTTAGAAAAGCATAAAAAGGCCAGCTAAAAACCAAATAAATAAAAACCAAGGACAAGAAATACAAAAGATTTTTATTTTTCAATTATTTATCCTTAATTGCATATTGAAACTTGTAACGAAGCTTTAAACAATGATACCCTGAATGGGGCCTGTCATGGAATTCGTTTATATTGTATTATTATATAGAGCACCGGAAATCCTTAGTCTCAAGTTTCAACTTGTTATAATTATAGTCGAGTTTGACGAGAGAGGAGCAATCATTGGCATATAAAGCTAGTTCGATTTGTTTGGGGTTTCTTTTCTTATTTGTATTCAAATGTATAAAATCTTTCTAAAGTAGATTGAAATCATTGTCACCATGAGTAATATTTTGATAATATTATAAATGCCTCGCAATAACACATTTTTTTCCGGTCAATTTGTTCTTCACATATGAATTTCATTCAATTAATTGGCCTTACTCTTAACTTTTATAAACGCGATTTTTGTGTAGTCTTATTGTTTGATTAGTTATTATAAATAACTTTGGTTTGTTTGTGTTTTACGTCCTTTTAACAGCTATGGTCATTTAAGGACGTGCCAGGTTTAGGTGGTGGAGGAAAGCCGGAGTTCCCGGAGAAAATCCACCGACCTACGGTCAGTACCTGGCAACTGCCCCACGTAGGCCTAGACCCGCGATCCAGTGGCGAAGGCCTAGTGATGGCAGTAACATAGTTAAGCACTACAGGCTTTCTTCTGAATATTTAATCATTTTTGAGAGAAAAAAATGGAATGATATTACAAATTAAAACCCGGCTTTAAACGCCTCAGGAGAGTAGAAAAGAAATATATTTCAGTTTTTCAGATGAAAAATAAGACAAAATTTATAATTAAGAATTGCAGTTGAGAGCCCGAATAAGGGACGGCTATCATACTTGCCTTAGTCTGTTAAATGTTTTTAAACCAGTTTGTGTCCTTGTTCTAGAAATACGAAAATTAAGCAACATAGATGTATTGATCATTTAAAGTCTATATTTTGATATATAAAAAATAACATTGTAACATTGTATTGTTTTGTAATGTAAAAAGATCGAAACGCTCTATACTACACAAAAGGGAAACTCAATGTGATACGAAAGCAAGTAAGAATGGAAATGACACCCGTACAATATAATCCGCATCATAACTTCAACAGTACAAGCCGAGGGCGATACCTGGACTTCCGGGACGGTTAACGTCTACAGCACCGCACATGGCGCCCTCACGGTTTCTGTCAATTCTAGGAAATTATAACAAACTAACGTGTGTGATATCTGTTTTATTCCATGATATTCTTAGCTTTGACTATATTTCTTAAAGTTGGATATCTCAAATATCGTGTTGAAATGGTTAGATTTCATGAATTAAAACAATTTGAAAACAGAGGTTTGGATGTATATAAGAGATTTGTTAATTGTGTCAAGACATAAAGAGGACGTTTGTTCATGATTTTGGTGGACGCCATGTCCCTTAGTTCTGTGAAAGATGACATGTTTTGTGTGTTTATCATCCAAATCCATTGCAGTTATGATATTTCCTGACTATTAAGTTCATTTAAATTCCAAGCACTTAAAGTGTTTGCAAGGATAGAGAAGTGTGTATATCTAGGATTGCGTTAAACATATAATAGTTTGATCAGGAATGCTCAGAAAACGTTCTTACGTGGGTTTCTTTAACACATGCGATAAAGTTAGGTCAAGGATGGAAGAGCGTCTGGCAAGCTAAAATTAAAACAAAAACTGTTTATATCTTAGTTATGAAAGCGAATACTACAGAAAGTAGTAATCACCTTTTCTTCGCTAACATCATAAACATACTATGGAAGTCTGACGAGGGATCCTCGCCGGGATGGGGAGGCACCAAGTCATTGAACTCAACTATATCAAACCCTTGTTCATTATAAATCTTTTTTGCTTGTTCCTTGCTTATTGTAACCGATGGAAACCTGAAATCGCCTACTTTATAAAATGTTGCATCTAACTCCCCGCATACTATCAAGTGTCCGCCATTTCTCAAAACAGAGCTGACGTTTTTCACACAATTTTCGTAGTCTGTTAAATTTCGGGATGCAGCTTCAAAGCAAAGGCTTGCAATGATGATGTCATAGGTTTGTGATGGTGGTGTTCCAAGTAAGCTTTGTTTTGTAACGTCGATCGGAAAAATATTCTTGACCTTTGACCGCATCTCTGATTGTCTTTCATCAGGTGTTTGCCTGAAAAAATATTTTTTTATAGAATAACTGTAACGCTTGTATGAGAAAGTATATGATATATAACTTTTTTTAAATGCCCTCTTAGAATAGCTTTTCTCTTTATAGTAAACCAATCAATTTGTGAGATTTTAACTATTTATATTAACAAATATATATATTCTTTATTTTGAAATGTGATTTATTAATTACTAACTATGCATTTATATTCGTCATCATCGATCGTCCTTATGAATATAAGTGAAAGGATATATCATGCGAAGTGATTTATTCACAATAGAGTCAGCTAAAGGGTGCATGCTACTATTGTGTAAGAGTAATCTCATTTAACATATTGGATAGTTCAATATTTTATGATAGTATTCTATGCATTATTATGTTCTATTGCAATGAGACATTAACATAAATATCACCTATATAGTGTATAAGACTTTTTGTAAGAACTGTTTGGCAGCAATAATTCGAAAATAACAAACGGACACCTACATCCCTTAAACAAGGTAACAGTGCGATGATCGATTAATCAATATGGACAATCTCTAATTTACTTTTCATCATATATCATTAAAAGCTAACTATGTACATTGTGTGAGGACAGCAACGATGAAACCAAAATAAGATCGAGGTAGATTTGATTTAGTTACCCAGACTTCTCAAGATCAACGACGAATTTGATGAATTCCGGTGTGTAATCTTGCCCATTTTTCCACCAAGCCTGAAGATACTTCCGGTTTTTCTCAGCGTAATCCGACAAGTCGATGTTCTCCACGTGTGGGGCTGCACTGATGATGCTATGTACAGTTGGACCTGTTCCTACATCTAGTAGTCTCGTACCCCCGATATTGTCTGAAATTAAAAAATACAACGTGTGCAAACCTATAGCATATTAGAAATAATAGTAAAAAGTATGACAATCTTTACAATTGTAACTCGAAGAAAACATAAGAAATAAGCAGAAATCAAAATATAAGGCTCCATTAACAAAAAACCAGGAGCTTTGAAAACACGAACGTAACACATACACACAGGTGACTACAACTTTAAAATTTGGTTATAGATACATAATGCATTTAAGGACTCAACGATGATGCTAGGGGCAAAAATGTTGGAAATTCAAATCATCTAAAATACTGTTGCAACAGAGTGGCAGGTGCGCTAAACTTTTTAATGAATGGATTTTAAAAAAAAGGTAGGAGTACTGGTTAATTTCAAATTATATAATCTGTAAAGTGTGTATATTATAAACCATCCCACTCCTCAAACACTGTATCCTCGATATCCATGGGTCACGCTCACTTTCTCTACACCACTGGAATATGTCGAAGTAAAATCGAAGGCTCAGTATGCAGTACCTTGAAGATGAGACGAGAAGACTAGTTTGATCCTTTGAAGTACATCAAAAGAATCTCGCGGTCACGTAACGGTAAAAATTGACAGGCTGTGAAACCGGTCGTCTTTCCTTTGTAATCTTCAAAGGACAGGTTAGCTATTGGTCAGGTTTTTTTAACCTGAGATCAACCAAATAGCTATATCCGTGCCTTCAATTTAGCTATGACATATTCCAGGGGTGTAGAGAGCGAAAGTGAGCGTAACGCCTGGATATCGAGGATGCAGTGTTTGAGGATGGTTTATAATATATTCACTTTACAGATTATATAAAGTGAAATCGAGGATGCAACACTGCAAGATTACAACTACTTCGGGGAGTGGCGAGGGGGAGGAGGGGGGCGGTCCACAAGTAGATTCTTCCACCTTGTATCATGAAATATTAATGTAGACACACACAGAGGTAACTTCCTCTTTAAAAAATATGCATTTCCTGCATTACATGTTGCACCCGTCTTACTGTCTCCTGCCAAATAATGAAACAATATCAATCATCAATGCCTTAAGACACCATACAAAGAAAGAACCCATTAATTAACATTTAGTTTGTCTATGTAGAAGTAAATCAATGTAAACATTTAAATGTGCATTTGATCATGTCGTTCATTAACTATTACATACACTGAAATTGTCACCTAACCCGTATTCTTAACTACAAAATTATAAAACTATGTCCACGAGCACCCTTCAAATTACAACGATAATAACGCCAGATGTTCCGAAAGGATAAGCGTCTTCGGAATCATTGATCGATGTAAGCTGTCGTGTAAATCTAGGTCATATCCAAGTAATGTCACGTCCTCAAAAAATATAACAAAGCATACTAATGAGAAAAACACCAAAAACATCGACCTTCATATCACAAAACGACACGGAATATTTCACTTATAAACAGCCCAACAGTCATTATCGACCAGCATCTAAATTGAGGGCAATGATGTATCGAAGGTCCCTTCTGCAATTGATTCAAGTAATTGCCAGCATTTCAACTTTTGAAATCATGTAAATTAATCATTTGGGTCCCAAAACACCGATTCTTTCCCCTTTATCGTAATTTTGAATAATGATTTAAATATAATCGCTGATGTTATTTAATTCCGTTTACTGCAGTATTTTCTAAAATTAATGAAAATTTGGTATACTTTCTGCACAGAAGATGTGTTTACCCTATACATAATAAAAAGAAATTGTGATATAAGACATTTTTTTTTTTTTTTTACTTTTAAAAGACAAAACTATAATATGATATATAAAAATGAATATATAGTCACGTGACACTGAATATAAACTTACGTGAACTGAAAAAGTGGTGCAACTGTCGCATTGCAAACGGCAAGTCTTCTCCCTCCATGTACAACCAGGATCCATGAGCGTAGTAATCCTCCATATAACTTGCAGGGTCAAAATTTTCAAAATTAACGGTTGGAATAAGTGATCCACTCATTTTTTAGATTAAATATATGTGTCCCGTGTCTTAGTTTGTTTCAAATACTACCTCAGTTGTTCCCTATCTATTTCATCTACAGTAATACAGGTAGCCACACCGATCAATACAGACGTTGAACTGTAGATTAGATATCTACATAATATTGATGCGGACAATATATCACGAAGCATTGTCAACTTAACTAGATATTTAACAAACAGTTCTGATAATGAGTTAAGTTAATATATATAAATGAAATCACAGAAAATATCTTTTACTGGATTTCGCAAACAATGCAAATGAAATGCCGAGAGAAATTCGTAAATAACCAAAGCAAAACGTGTAAGCGTTTTGTTATGTTTGATATTACTGCAGGAAATGTAATATAATCAAAATAGCGGACATATTTTAACGGTCGAAATACGTTTTATAAATTACAAACAAAACTAATCTGAGTTACTTGTGAGGCGTACAGTGTGCCGTACTATTCCAAAGAAAGCCAAAACCTGTCCTATTCAAATCTTCCCCAAATTCCACACACATAAAGTACTGACTAACCAATTAATAAACAACATATATGTTTCAATGCATACTATTGTTACATTATATAATTCTAAAATATTAACTTTGTACAAGGTACGTCGGGCAGTCGACAGGTACTGGCCGTGAGTCGTTGTTTTTTCTCCGGGAACTCCGGCTTTCCTCCACCACCAAATTAAAACCTGGCATGTCCTTCATTAACCGTAGCTGTAAATAGGACGTAAAACACAAACAAAACAAATAGTACAGCACACACGATTTTAACAGTAATACAAATAGTCTTTACGAATCTAGAATACGAGTTTTAGTGTATTGAAAGCACTGAACAGACGAATTAAGGTGTACACAAACTGATATCATCTTTATCACTATCTGTGTGCTTTATTTATCGTACTCTAGTCAAACTGCATAGTGATAGCCTTGCTTCTCATACGTCTAGGATGAAGTTGATAGTATTTGTCGTTGTTATCAAGACTTATCCCACATGTTTTACAATGTCATCTGATTTTAGACTCTTAACATTCAATTTGTTTGTTTGTTTGTGTTTAACGTCCTATTAAAGGACGTGCCAGGCTTGGTGGTGTAGCAAAGCCGGAGTTACCGGAGAACACCACCGACCTACCCGGCGACAGCCCCACGTAGGCCTCGAACCCGCGACCCAGTGGTGAAGGGCTCCAGTGGTAGTAGAATGTCAGCCGCCTTAACCACTTGGCCACCGCGGCCCCATATTCAAACAATGAACAATATAGATGAGAGATACTTACTGATATAATTGTAACATGTGTCGCACATCAAATTAATGGTACGCCTTTAAGTTTGACTGCAATCAATGTTGCAGTTATAACAGTAACTTAACTACATGTCGTTTTTTATACATTAAAACAAAAATGTTTGCTTTCCCGTACAATTTAAACCCTTTGTTATCGGCAAGGTCAGATCAATAACTAAAACAACAACAGAGGAGCAGGTGACCTCACATGCTGTTTCCTACATAAATTCGAGAGATAAAACAAAACAAATAAATAATATTTCAAACGCATGTAATACTCGTATTGACTATGCATTGTGGAAGCGAAAACGTGGAACGTGTAAAATATTTCATCAAGAATTATTTTCCGAGCTCATAGTCATGCCATTGTAAAGGTAGTGCTCAGGCTCTGTATTCATACACAGCAAATAACATTTAGTCATGCTTTCGACAGAAATTATATCGAAGGGTATTGTCACATCAAGTGAAAATATTATGCAATAAACATCAGAGACGGATTATGAAAAGTTATTTTGTACACAAGCAATAAGATTTTCTATGTGACGTTTCGATGACTAGTACGATATGTACACTGTCACCTTCATAATACAAATGACACATTTTATCCCGTTGTGTGCATACTCTTCACTGGTCATTTGTCTGATGAAGGTGACAGTGTACATATCGTACTAGTCATCGAAACGTCACATAGAAAATCATATTGCTTGTGTAAAAAGAACTTTTCATAATCCATACTTACCAACCTGAAGAAAATGTTTAGAAACATCAGAGAAAGTTGTATCTTCAAATGATATACTGCTTGCAATTATTACTCTGCGGTGAAGGCACCTGGCTATTAAAATGGTTTTGACAAAAAGCACCAAGGAAATGATATTGCGGTACGTGATTATAAGAAGAATCAAATATACAAACGGTTAATGTGGGCCCAGATTAGGAAAATACCCCATAGGTAATTTTGGGGAGACATATTTGCGGCATAAGAAAAATTGAGAAATAATATACTGACGTATTGCATTGCCTTTAAAAGGTTTGTTTTCACTATTGTATGGTACATGTAGCAGCCTATTTCTATTATCCACTTTTTTTAGGTCGTGGTACGGTAACATCTATTTAGTTGAAATAGTTATTGCGACAAGTTGTGTGAATTTATTTTATTCTTAACTCTACTTAAAAGGATAAGTGGCGTAAAAGGTCATTTCCGGCCTCATAGGGAATTTACAATTAGTTGTTATATTCGTAATCTGGACTGATTCATTCGGCAACTGCTTAAGAAGGAACGGCATTCCAAAGAGAGAAATAAACCCGCATTTCCATAATAAATGTGGTTGAAAATTGGGAATTTTGAAGTAAATTAACTAAACACTCTTCAATTTTAGAAAGTCTCCGCATGAACCAAACAAATACATTTTTGAAATACTTAAACATTGTCATACCAGTGTTCAATTAGAGAAAGGAATTCTTGTTTGTCACATGCGGAGACTTTCATTTCTGCATGCTAACAGTCCAAAAGCACCATTTTTTGGCTATTTCTGCATAGCAATGCAATATTATTGCTATGGTAAGGCATCTACACATGTACATTGAAAAAATCTGCACCAAGAAAAATATCCCCAATTAACAGATATGATGTTTAAAACACAAATTTAGAAATATATTCAAGTTGAAAAGTCCTTTGTATATGTTATTTACCACGACAGATAAGAGTTAGATTACCTTGGATCGTTAAAATTGACCGATCATAATAATCCTTACGACATGCCGATACATTAAGTCGCAAGAATGATGAAACCAGTTGAGCGACTTGAGGCGACAATTATCTCACCAAGTCAGCCTACTTTAACAAGACAAAAAATAAGTGGAAGGCAGATATATGCCACCATAACATTGACTATTACATGTAGACGATGTTGAACGAATTAACACCCCATAATTTGTTGCACGAAAATTGCATAACTGAAGCGCAATACAGTATTGCAAATTTATCTTGAACCTTTTAATGGCTTACCGAGCCAAATATAATATTGTATTAATATAGAAATTACCAAGCTCGCAATATTTAAGTCAATCGACTTCAAACAGTAATTAGATTGTAATTAAATCGGTTGTAAAAGGTGTGAGTACCATGTGGTTTCTTTGTGTATATACAGACACGTTTTCTGTCCTTAAACAAATGCTATTGTAGGATTACAATGGCATAGATATGGAATGTTTTCCACTAGTTTTTTTTACAACAGGTTCCCTACGATTAGACTAGACTCTAATTTCAAAACTATACTTAGTACTGGTAATGATTTTAAATGGATTTTACTTGTAAGTCAGTTCCAAAAATCGACTGTAATCCACTTATTTCAATGTTTATGTTGCTACAAGTACAGCAAACCTTTACAATTTCTAGGTAAAAACTGTATGTTTTGATTTACTATTAGCTTCAATGTGATAGTTTCTTCATTCATGATAAAGCATTGAAAAAGGCTGTTTAAAAATAATTTGCATTTAAAAACATTTAAAAAATTAAGAATAAGCATAAGCACTAATTTATGACCTTAATGCATGAAGACTGATCTATTACTAGCAGCTGTACCGTAGCAAACCCTCTAAGGTCCAATATAGGCACTGGATCACACATTACAAATGTCTGTTGGATGTGTATTAATTTAATCGGTTTGTAGGCAGACATTTTATCTTCTGTCCCTTTGTTTTATTCTGTGGTTTATTGTTGTGTCTTTACAACGCGGCAGATTGTCTTCAAAATATCATCAATTTCATTGCCAGCACTGTCATTTTTACTCTTCTGCTCACACACACACACACACACACACACACACACACACATACATACATACATACATACATACATACATACATACATACATACACATACATACACACACACACACACACACACACAGACAGACAGACAGACAGACAGACAGACAGACAGACAGACAGACAGACAGACAGACAGACANCATACATACATACATACATACATACATACATACATACATACATACATACATACATACATACATACATACATACATACATACATACACATACACACACACACACATACATACAAACACATACATACATACATACATACATACATACATACATACATACATACATACATACATACATACATACATACATACATACATACATACATACATACATACATACATACATACATACATACATACATACATACATACATACATACATACATACATACATACATACATACATACATACATACATACATACATACATACATACATACATACATACATACATACATACATACATACATACATACATACATACATACATACACACACATACATACATACACATACATACAAACATACAGACATACATACATACATCGGAAATAAATATAACAACGAGGTGAATAAACAATAAAAACACAAAAACACAAAAAACACAAACTCGTTCTCACCCGATGTACATCACTCTTTATTTTGTTTTGGTTTAAAATGTTGCAGCTACAGAGTTCAGTGTTCAAAGCCCAGTTAGCTTAACTACCATTTGATAAAATTAACTTGTTAAAGTATATTCATGAAAACAGAAAAATTTCAAACAATGATGCATGCGTACTCCAAAGACGAAAAAAATCAACTCTTTGAAAATTTTCTGATATTTCCCATAAAACGGATTTTGATCACATACATTAACGAATCGTTTAAGCTAACCAAACCTATGAACAACAAGATTCTGAACGGAGCTAGTCATATTATTATACAATACCGTGTTATGATGCAGTGCACCGGAAACCTTTTCTTGCAAGCTTCAACTGAATACACTGTCTAATGAAAGCAATGGGACAACATACATTCATGGTTTAAACTCTTTATGAAAACGCCTTTGTGGTAGTTTATGATAATAAGAATAATAGACATTCTTTGTTGAGGATAAAATACATGTTAAGCCACTTGCTAATCTTCCTCATTGTCCTGGTTTTATGGTTATATAGTGTTAATTGATTCCAAAGTCGTTTACTATCCTATCCCATATTTGTCGTGTGTCGTCCACGCCTACTTAACTTTAGCGTACTTTCTTTGCCACCATGACGTACGCACCTTTGAAGTCAGAAAGCAGGTCTTTGCCAGGATTAGGGGCTGACATTTCTCTAAACGACTCGATACGAAAACCAGCTTGCTCAAAACTATTGTACACATCAGACTGGGATACAGCTACACATTTAAATTTGTAATCTCCAACAACATAACGCGAGGCTTCAAGTTCGCCAGCCACAATTATGTGGCCGTTTATCTTGAGTAGAGACGCAATGTTGTGTATGCATGCGTGGAACTCGTTGAGGCTGTGAGTGACTGCCTCTAAGCAATAACTGGAAGTGATGATATCGAACTTTTCAATATTGTTAGATCCAAGAGGTTGTTCTGTTTTGATGTCTATATGGAAAATGTCTTTGACCTTAATCCTCATCTGTTTCTGCCTGTCAGCCGCAGTAGTCCTGAAACATTTATTTATATTCATAATATGTCATGTATGAGGCAGAACATACAAGAAAAATATATTATCAATGTTAGCAATTAAGAACTGTAGACAGAAGTACTATAGTATACTGTGTTACAGTTGTCAAGCGAAAAAAATTATTTCCAACCCTGGACCACTTTACGGCATTATTTGTCGTAAAGTGTCATCCGGGTCTCTGCCAATAGTGAAAATAAAGTTTAAGTGTAAGGTATATTATCATTATTGTGTATTATTGTATGATTGGCCTATTGGTGAGTATAAGGTATTTGTTTTTGAATTAAAAGTTATAGAAGTGTGACGTAAGTTGTTGTTTCATAACGAAATAATTTACTTGTGGATGGAAACTGACAGGGATTTGAATTGAATGTAGACTTACGTTAATGTTATCTACACTGCAACTACTTATCAAACTTATTCTTCGAACGCAATGGATTCTATTTACTCAATAAGCGATTATGTTAACAATCATTTTACTTAACCATGCAACAATATCAGCGAAAAGGTAACAGCAGACATCGGCGAGTGATAGTCCGCTACCAAAGGTAAACACCCTGTGACGTAAAACAATCACTAAAAAACACCATCCTAAAAACTTCGTTTGTCGATGCAGAGAGCCTAACAATGTTAATTGTTTTCTTGCACAATATGTACGTTTCGCCCATTAAGGAGTTATCAGTGATAATATTTTTCAAAAAGGATCAATATCAATGTCTTAAAGAGTTTCGAAACATATGTTGAAACACATGTTAGTGATAAAGTACCCATAAAAGTATTCAATACGTGATTTAATCATTCTTATTCTCGTTTTTGTGCATATTCAAATTTGCACAGAGACGAAGAGACTAGAACTAAGTATAAACAATGGTTTCCATTAGAATAGGGTTTTATGTGAAAGGGCGAGAATGAAAATAAATATAATCATTTTGTCCTTTCGTATGCTGAAAGAACTAAATGCAGCATGCCACCACTCAGTCACCGTAGTAAATAGTTTATTAGATATCTCTATTTGTAGTGTGGTGTTATGTACATTGAATACATTTGTGGTAGTGCAAAATCATTACATATTTCATCACATTAAAAGATATACTATAAAAAAATCTGCATGGGTTATGAAAATACCCTTTATCTGTGTACTCATATCCGCGTACAGAGGTTGGGTGTCCCTAAGCAGGGACACATTTGTGTTTCGCGCACTACGAGAGTAACAATTTCAACCGGATGTATGATCGGACAAGAAATAAGTCAACTGCGACATATTTACACGTCACTTCCGGTTTGGTTTTGTATATACTTGGTCCTACCGGTCCAGTGTGACATGGCCATTGTATCATAATTACTTATCCAATCAGATTGTATGTATGTATTGGCTACAATTGATGGGACCTAGCAAAAGGACATATGACTATATATCAAATTGAGGCTGTGAAGAACTGTGATAACCGGAAGTTAGACATAGTTACACGTACTCTTGGTATGTCATTGGCCTTTATAGTTTTGTTCTGTATATACTTGGTCCTACTAGTCCAGTGTTACATGGCTATCATAATTACTTATCCAATCAAATGTTATGTAGGTCGACGTCACGGTTACAGCTGTATCTCGTAGTACTTAGTGATGGGACCAAGCAAACGCATCTATGACTCTATGTATCAGATCGAGGCTTTGTACAACTGTAGTAACCGGAAGTTTCTTATCCCTCTCTCAATACAGGACTGAACTGACAAGAAATGGAGAGCTCTTGTGTGGACAAAGGCTATGTCGTGTCTGGTCGTCTCGGGTTGTGGTTACCTTAGGCCATTTACTTGTTGTTCATCATCAAAAGTTTAGACATTAGCAATCGTGCATTCTTTGAAGTGAATATATTTCTGTATAAACCTAGCCTTTGAATATTAAAGAGAAGGCATCTATGATAACAGAAAATTATCTAAATAAGAAAACAAGAAAGAGTCTGTGGTGTATTAAGTGCCCAACTGTGTATTAAATATACTTCGTTACACGTGTTTATCAGATGATGGTAAAATATATCAAAGCGATTATGAGCGTAGATCAAAAATTAATAGTATTAGGGATTGTTAAATAGTATAAATTTGAGGAAATTGTTTCTGTACCACTTTGGCTGTTTTCATTTCCCGATATCCGTAGCTATGTCAAAAAAGGAGTATATATAGATAATGATTGCGATTATCTTTCAATTCAAATATAGAAAATGTGTTTAGAACACAATAGCCCGATAATAGATTACATGTATCTACATACCACGCGATAGAGACAGTTTCCCAATACATATAGCATTATACTATGAATATTCCCTAAGATGTGCATGTAGGTCATCATGTTTATCTTACTCGGGTACTAGTTAATTATCAAATCCTATATAAACATGAGATAAACCGAATGTCTTTTTCAATTTGAAAAGATAATAATCAGAGATGGATTAAGATGATAATGATAATCAACCATCAAGAGTTGGGTTACTTTTTATCAAATAACGTCCACATTATTTATGGAAAACCACATATCTATATCGGAAACAATTTGTTCCGGTTCCGGTCTGGGGAAAAATCATATATCGTGACGTCACAAGATGTTAATTAGGTAGACCATTGTTATGTGACGTCATAATTGAAAGACTGGTCAATGAAATCACGTCACGGTTGTTACCCACTTGTCGATAACATGAAATTTATCAGTTCCTTGTATATTCATCAAATGCTACTGCAATACATAACAAATACAGTTGTGAAGGAAATATAATTTCAGCGAAATTTCCATTGCATGGAAGTCATTCGGGTCGTCATTATCAAATAAGCTTATATTTTTCTGAAGACGATTCACAAATAATCTATTGGACACGTGGTTCACGCAATTAGTCAGCAAAGTATCATCAAAGTTGCATCCGTATTGGTGTTCTGTTCTGATTCTGTTTTCTTTATTAGACGGCTTCATTTGATCAAGTGGTGTTGACTGTTTGGTTGTGTTGAATGAGGCAGATAAAGTAAGCCATCTGAATACGCCATTTCTGAATCGAGACGAGGGGACTCATAGACTCTCGCACATCTATGATCATGTATGAATCAAAGCGTAGTCAAACCGTTTGTCGATTTGATAGTCACTTCGGACATTTATAACAAGTAAGTGCGTATATGCTGATAGTGTAACGGAACCGATGGCGATCTTATTGCCAACAAGAACATATTTCCTACCATTGTGCATATACATTTTACCGGTCATTTTCTGATAGTGGTGAAACAGTACATGTCTTACTAATAAACAAAACGCCACATATTATTTTACTATTAACTCCCCATAACCTGTAAACAATGTATATGCTTACAAACCTCATGAAAATGTTTAGAAACAGTTTTCAAAGTCCATGACTCTTATCGATTGAATAGTCTATTTATTTTATCAATTTATCACGTGGCCAATATCAGATCACATGATTAACGTCCATCACGTGATAAATAACCCTTGTTACTGATGGGATAATCAGTTCACCTGTCCCCTTTCTATCTATCTATATAAGAGCAAGCTACTATCTAATACAATATATGCTATGTGACACGGGATGATTTGACGATAGGTACGTGAACCATCCGATGGCACGTGCAACAGGTCAATATATAGGTAGGTAGATCAGTTACAGAAATCTGTTAACGTTGGCTGGATAAGTAAGCTTATTCCTTGTAGCTTGTTTCTCTCGGTTTCGACTACAGTTTATGTCAACATCCCTGACACAAATGATTTATCAAATATTATCAATATTTCATACACTCTTGTAAAAACAATTATTTCTATATTGATCGATTGTATGATATCGAAAATTGTTTTAAGTGGTTAATGTGTCTGACATTCTCCTACAACTAGCCTCCGCCACTGGGTCGCGGGTTCTAGGCATGCGTTGGACAGTCGCCAGGTACTGGCCGTAGGTCGGTGGTTTTTCTCCGGGAACTCCGGCTTCCCTACACCACCAAATATTGGCACGTCCCTAAATGACCATAGCTGTTAATAGGACGTAAAACACAACCAAACCATGTAATCACGTGACTTCTGAAAAAAATACTAGTTTAACACTTGGGAGGAATTCTTTTGACAATTTTCATCATGCTGGTAAGTATGAACTGTAGAAAGGTAATAGTTCAAGCAGTTAATCGTTTTTGATTGACCTTTTGGTGATTATTACGGTATTTACTCTGTCACCTGCATCAGACAAATCACTTCATATAAATACTTAACTGGTTGTGTTATATGAACCTTTCAACCTTCCGTTGGAGCGGATTATACGATTTTTTGAAATGACCATAACCGGATATTTATAGTTCGTATATTATTAAGACTTATACATTTTGTTTATGAGATAAAATTAAAATAGCTCTCTGAAGTACGTATATAATCAAGTGGGGTCTCAAAATTACAAGAGCAACAATGTCGTTGTTTATGCATGTACGTTTGTATGTGTAGAAATATTTTTAAAAAAAAATGTATAGAAACATTTCTGAACGAGACGATTTTTTGAGATGATAGGTTTTAAATAATTTTAACCTAAACTAGCGCGCGACACTATACACAAGTTATGGCCGGTGTATCGAACTCAGATTAAAACGTCGTCATCAATGACGTCACTGAAACATTATAACACAAAAATATACTAACTTGCTTCCTTCTAGTCGAAGTAAATATTTAATCATCCCTTCGTTGAAGTTGATGTCCCCTTCCTTCCATTTCTGTAGATATTTACGATTTTTGGGAGAATAATCGCTCAGATATATCTCGTCCACGTGGCTGGATGCGCTGATGATCGAATGAATTGACGGTCCAGTTCCGATGTCTAGGAGACGATTACCCTTCAATTGAACTGCAAACATAAAACATTGCATATCACAATTTTTGTATTTGAACCCAGCTCCCCTTTCTGTTTTTGCTCATAACTGGTGTAATGTCAAAGCAATGTTGATTGGCTTTATAAAAACGGGTTTTCAACAAAGGGTGAAAAGACTTATTGCTTTTACGGGGTTTTATTTTTCAATCATCTTTGACACAAAAGTTGTCCCCGCAATATCTTTTAAATGCCAAAAGGTATGTCAATGTTCTTTTTAATTTAATGTAGGCAATGTACTAAAGTTGTCACTGCAACATTGTCAAGTAGGTCACAAGATGGCCGCCACGACGTCAAAGGTTAAACGCTTAAAATGGCCATAATTTAACAAGTATTCACTAAACCACATTCTTGCAATTATATCACTAGTAGATTATCTTTGGGACTACTTTTTGCTGTTACATTTAATTTTTAACTTCTTTTGAAGAATTCTTTTTAATATCGCTTTTTTTGGAATACGGGCACGCTGAATTTAATTGGGGTTTTTTTCTGTAACGTTTACCGTTAATGTCCAAAGCTATCTTGATTATTTTCTGATTTTGTTTTTAAGCTAACAGTAACTTAAAACTGTTTTATCCTTGATGGCCTCCACGAGCCTTGATTGGTTAGGACACAACTCTATGTCGTTACCACCTTCAGTTACAAAGCTCATCTTTGATATAGAGTAGGGTCAGAGACCACATTATCTGAGTCATTCTTATTCCAAAAAATAATCAACTTCCGGTTCTCACGAGGGGTCTTAGATTTAAGTAAAATAATTTGACGATTGTCTTCAACAGTCTTCGTGTATGGTGTAAGTATTCCCTGGGTTGCCTTTTGGAACGTATGTCAATTATCAAAGCGGTTAAAGTTTCCAAGATAGCCGCCGCAAGCTCTTGACATAGTTAACACATTATGCTACAGTGCTTATCATTGAATGTAATATAGAGAAAATAACGACAAAGGACAAATCACCCTCAGAAATATATCAACTTCAAGTTTAATAATTCAAAAATTTAAGAATATTAACAAGGAACAGTGAAAACTTGTCATATTGTCAATGATAATTTCTAGTCATCTCGTATGATTTTTTTAACTGCTTTCTTTGTTAACCCACCTCTGGCTTATTGCTCAACTGTTTGGGGTAACAGTTCAAAACATAATATTGCAAAATTAGAACGCCCGCAAAAGAGAACAGCCATAATTATTTTAAAATGTGATTTTTCCATACCTTCCTGTGAAATGTTCAAAAAACTAAATTGGTTACCTTTTTACAAAAAGAATTTTATACAATCAAGTAGTTTTTATGTACAAGATACTTAATAATTTAGCTCCACAAAATTTGAATGAGTTTACGTATATGATATCATCTACCAATGTGTTTTATTTGCCATGTCATAAGACAAACATGTTTAGAAAATCTTATAGATATCAGATTAGAAATTGTACTTCATTTTTAGAATCTAAGATATCTGCAAAGCAATTTTACTTGAAATGATTTATGATTTCCTCCCTTATCCTGTATTTTATACATGTATATTTCTTAAAGCTGTAAATATTGTACATTTTATCATACATTATATCTTGACCATGTGTAAGATTAGCTTCATGCTCAATATGTTATCAAGAATAAATAAAGCCTTTATTATTATATATTATAGTTTGGGTTGCTTCTGGTTTTTCACTTAACAGGTTGAACCTTGTGTATTTTAAAGAGTCGTTAAGATCTTATTAGAAAAAGATCAGAACGTCATAGCATGATCAAACAAGAGCACATCAACAAAGTAATCTATAGTATCAAGTAAAATAGCGATCCCAGCCTCAGAAAAACAAATCAGAATGAAAGATCGATACGAAGATCAAACCAACAGCTGGGGACATATCAAACAGAATTTGACGTCATTTGACCTCTAGAAAAAGTGTGTTATCCGTGGAATGTGACCGGGTAAGGTGTAATGCTGCAGTGGCGCTCTACACTGATATGGAAGTGACCCGTTCATTAGTGGACATTTTCGTCGTATGACCTTTCTGACCTTGACAAGATGTAAACACCCAAACAAAAACTTCCAACATCTTATATTTCCACTTGCTCTGCACTGCCACTATATAACCTTGCCAAACAAAATAGAAAGACATCAGATTATAATTCTCACCTAATTTCCATTGGTGTAGTGATATGAAGACCATGTGTGTGACGTCGTGACTAAATGACGTTGTTTAGACCGACGTCACTATATTAAGTGTATTATTGACGTCACGAAAAAAGTGTCGTCTGCGCCAAGCAGCGCACATCAACACAAAGAAATCTTCATTACACAAACACGGGAAGTCCCGGATTCTTCAAAAATGCAACATTTTCTTGCTACACTTTCAATTTCAATCGCTAAATTCACCTTTCGTCTCCAGGCCAAATCACAACATCGATAACAATACGCATTCCTCGTGGTAACCGATCCGTGCTACCGGAGTAAAAAAAAAAATTCAATTGATCAATGTAACTCGCAACAATTTATGTAGTTATGTTGTATAAAAGGTGAATATGCTCACGATGGAATTTATTGATTAAATTGTTGAAATAAAATTGATCATTTTGTGTTTATTTCATTGAACTATATTTTTGCCGGAAACGGTCGCGTGTACTCGGGACGTCTTTAAAATAGCCCCATTGCCGACAGCGCGAAATTTGACTTTGAAATGCGATTACAGGCTGGAAATATAAGAAAAAACAAAATTGACAACGGAAATATCAGTATCAAACTGCCTTCTTTGGAGGGTTATTGTCATATAACGGGCGTTATTCAATTTGTCTGCAATCCTGTGATAATTATAGGACAATCACTTTTCAAAGAAGGCAGTTTAGTGCTTAAATAACTTACTTGATCTGCTTCATCATATGATGGTCACGTGTTTCTTTATATTTATTTTTTCGTGGTTTAACGTCCTAACGTCAAATGTTTACGATATATGAAGATGGGTGCCTAGCGATTAGATGAGATTAGTGTAGATAGGAAAGAAAAGAAAGTATAGACGTTTTCAATAAGGCAATTGGTGCATCAGGCCCTGAAACGGTCTTAAGTCTTAAATTGTCCTAAATTGCTTCATGATCCAGTGTATCTTACACGGGGTAGGGAAAGACAGCTGACACGCGCTATGACGTCATAATAATGGATTGTCGACGTGACGTCATTTTATTGTTTCCTTGATGTCATACAATTGTTGTGAATGGAGATTCATCCGTCTCAACCCGAGGGCATTGGGGTTTGCCGGTAGAATAAGATTGATATTTATTCCGACTAGAATTTGTTTATTTGTATGAAATAATCAAGCATGGGTCTGTTCCATAGATAGGGATATCTCAACCCTCGTGCTGACCAGCCAAACTCTTACACTCGGGTTGAGATATCCCAGTCCACGGAACAGACCCATGTAAGATTCTATAAGTCACCCCCTAGGGGGAGATTAGCACGTGTTCAATTGTGACGTCATGTAATACGTCATCGGTAATTGTGACGTCGTCAAAAATGAATGACGATAATATTATCCAAACCCCACGTGTGTTTTTGTTTACAAACATGGCAGACTACTGTCGGTGGAGTTGTGACTGAAATAATAGGATGGGAGAAAAATAATTATCGCCTGCCTTAAGGGTGTGACCGAGAAATCCCAACCCTCGTGGTGATTTCTTTGGTTGTCTAACACTCGGCAGAGCCTCGGGTTAGACAACCAAAAATCATCACCCCTTGGGTTGGAGATTTCTCGGTCACACCCTCAAGGTAGGGGACTATTCTATTAATCTTTCCCGGCAGAAACGGGAGACACGGGAAATGTAAACACAGCGGATTTACCCTACAAAACACATGTATACATGTATATATATTTGTAAACTGCATTACATTTACAATACATATAAAGTACTGAGAGGTGTATAAACCTCTTTTTTCTATGTATGTCACTTGCGTGAAAACCATGGTTACCACATCAAAAATTACCAAAAAAGGCCAAATAATTGTTATTTTTGACCCAAAATTTGACCCCCGCAACTAGGGTTTTTTTTGTTCCTAAGTTCTGTCTGAAATTAAAGATTACCTTCCTGATTGCAGGATTATCTGGGTCCCAGTAAAGTTGTAAAACTTGATTTTTTGCAATTTTACGTCGTGTGCTGTTGTCCTTTCGGATTATGGCCAAAATTTTATTCTCGAACCAAAAAAATCTTCTTTTTTTTTTACAAATGTGAAGCTCACGTAGCCCACTTCATCATGCTTATACCAATTTCAGTACAGTTTTATTTTCATATTTGTTTTTGCATATCATTATACAGGGGTTAGCCATTTAACAAAAATATCACCCATGGCCACAACCCTCTACTGTATACTGCTACCAGTGCAGTATTTCCGAGACTCAACATACTTTTGTTTCCCTTTCAAAATTTGTCTATTCTATCTTTCATAGCATTACAAATAGTATCAGTTTACCTGGCCATACCAAGAAACTTTACATATTGTTATAATTTCACACTTAAAAGGTTATCGCAAAAGTATGATTGAACATTTACAATTCATAAGATTGAATATCTCGTTGTGTTAAAAAAGCAAATGTGCAGATGAGCAATAGTTTAAGATAGTTACATGAGGAGAAGGCGCGATGCAGTTCATTAAAGGCAAACGGTAGATCTTCTCCTTCCATGTACAACCACGACGCGTCATCGTAATAGTCTTTCATGTAACGCTCGGGGTCAAAATCATCGAAGTTCGTCGTCTCCTTCTTTGTAGCCATGTTGACAAGTTGTGTACTTACATATGCATCGAGTAGGTTTGCTAGCTATGAACTAAATTAATGTTTACAGAACACACACACACACACACACACACACACACACACAGATAACATATCAGACAGTTATAGAAAAGTATCATTTGATGTACATGACCTTTATCACACATATCTAACAAGTGTGAATGATAGAGATTGTATATATATATAATTTTATTCGGTTCATTTACTGACATAAAAATAACATAACCGGAAATGTGTGTTTTTTGAGAAAAATTACATTAAAAATATATAACTATCATATTTGAACATTTACTCGTGAATAGATAATCAGATTAACGTCGATTTTTAAATAGGTTAACATGTCAATATTGGTAGAATGTTTTTTGGGGTTTCTTTTATAGAAATATTTGTTTTAGTTTTAAATTCCACGTGCATTACTTGTCTTAAATGCTATTATTTTATCTGTTTATTTAATTATTTTTTATAAGGCTGTAACGGTTCACAAATACAAATGCATGAAGGCCCATTTTAATCGCCTCTATTTTGACAAAGCACCCACGCCAATTTCTTCTCCAGAATCCATAGGGGCAAATGAAACATTAAAAAAAGAAAGACTAATTGATAAGTATAGCACACAATGCATATTATCAGTATAGAAAGAGGGAATCTTTATTAAAACTCGATAATAATAGACAACAACGGGAACTGAGTAAACATCGAAACTAAAGGAAAGACAACATAAATTTACCTGCCTGGAATTACGAGAATGTTGACCAAGTTGGACTCAATGAAACCATTTTGCCATGCAATTGGCAATATTAATAGAGGATTGGGCTATGAATTCGTGTTTATCAATGCAAATCTCCATATAGATCAAAACGACTATTTCTATGTTTGTCCCATCAGTATATATACTCTCTCCTTAATCATGATCCCAAATCTCTCTATCACTCGACCATACCTCTTACTTTTCTGCACTGTTCTCACATACATACCCTCTCCTCCCATCCCCACCACTAGCCCCCTTGTAATGTCTTCATCCGTTCGTTATGATTTCTTTCACATGTAAAATAGTATTGATCAAGATCTTATGCTAGATTTTATGTTGTCCTGGTATGATGGTACCGACTCGCTATTTTTTTATCAGATCATTTTGTTACATATTTGACGATGGGAAACTCGTATATGTGTCACAGAATAGCGATTGGTACCTTTTATTCCAAGGTCTTCGGCAGATGCATGATGAAGTCGTTTAAGTTGTTCTCTTTTTGTTTAGGTTCATTTATACGGGTGTTCGACCTCGGTCGGTATTATATAGCATGGTTTATTTATCATTTAAACCTTTTAATCTGTTCATGCTTTCGAAATATTGAGTTCTCTATAATCTTGTTTTTACTATTATTACAGCATATGGACATCGAGTCCAATCCTGGCCCGAGGCGTGGAGAGTGTAGAATTCTTCCTTTCATACTTTCTCTAACAAATTCATCCTTTATACCTTCAACTCTTCGCAGTCGGAATTCATTGGACCTTTCAGTAAGGTCATTGACTTCTAGATATTCTTTCATAAACTCGTTAACTTCAAATGTACAATCTCCTCCACCAATTGTCTTCAGTTTCGATGAACGTAAATTGAGACATCATGCATTCAATACTTAGACATCAGTGTAGTCCACTTAAATATGATCTTTATAGAGTAAGTCTTATAGATAGTCCATTACGGCCATCCCTGTGAAAATGTCTTTCAATTTTTTTTGTGAGGGCTTACTTTTTAACAACGAAAGACGCATCCTGCTCCAAAATGTGAATGCCTTGCATGTTGATTTTAGTTTACAACTACTTTTGTTTGGAAATACTCAACTTTCGGTTGAAATCAATACAACAATATTTAGACATGTTCATCATTACTTCAAATCCAGCAATTGGTTTTGACAAATATAATTATTTTCCTCATTTTCATTTTTATTGTGACTGATTTCATTATTTTTTTATTTATTTTGTTCATTATGAAATTACTCTACCAGGCTACATGTCATGTAATTTGTATAATTTACAATTTATTCAAATGCAGATCCTTTGGCTGTTTAACATCTTGATATTCAAACAAATGCGGTCAAGGGGTAATGCGTACTCAAAATCAAGGGTAGACACATCTGGGTGCTATTCTATTATTTATTATTTTATGCTTAACAGTTTTTCTGTCAAATCAGTATCGTTGACAATTCAGCTTTCATATTCGTTCCTTTAGGATAAAAAGCCGAAAATAATTAGGTGTGAATACTAAATATCGATTAACTTTAAGACTCAAATATTGTTCTCAAAAACCACCAAATAGCATCAGAGAGCTTGTAGCTTCATCCTGTTCTTTGTTTACGGTCCAGCTACACGCCTACGTGCACATGTGTTATATATGTATAAAATGTAGACAATGTCACCATATCTTGACCGATCACCAAGCGGATGGTTAAGTCCTTCGACATTCAGAATTGACCTCAGGTCTGAGACTGGTTCTTTCTGGTACTGGTAAGGTTCTTCAAAAAGGTGTTGCCTGGGTAAGGTACTTCAGAAAGGTGTTTCCTGGGTTAGGTACCACGGAATGGTGTTTCCTTGGTAAGGTACTTCGGAATGGTGTTTTCTATGTAAAGTACTCTGGAATGGTGTTTCCTGGGAAAGGTACTTCAGAATGGTGTTTTCCGTGTGAAGTACTTCGCAATGGTGTTTCCTGTGTAAAGTACTTCGGAATAGTGTTTCCGGGGTAAGATACTTCGGATTGGTGTTTCCTGTGTAAAGTTCTTCGGAATGGTGTTTCCTGTGTAAGGTACTTCGGAATGTTATTTTCTGTGTAAGGTATTTCGGAATGGTGTTTCCTGTGTAAGGTAATTCGGAACGGTGTTTCCGGGGTAAGGTTATTCGGAATGGTATTTCCTGGGTAAGGTACTTCGGAATAGTGTTTCCTGGTTAAGATACTTCGGAATTGTGTTTCCTGTGTAAGGTACTTCGGAATGGTGTTTCCTGGGTAAGATATTTCGGAATGGTATTTCCTGTGTAAGGTCATTCGGAACGTTGTTTCCGGGGTAAGGTTATTCGGAATGATATTTCCTGGGTAAAGTATTTCGGAATGGTGTTTCCTAGTTAAGATACTTCGCAATGGTGTTGTCTGTGTAAGGTACTTCGCAATGGTGTTTCCTGTGTAAGGTACTACGGAATGGTGTTTCCTGTGTAAGGTACTTCGCAATGGTGTTTCCTGAACTACCTGTGGTCCCTGCCATGACATATCACGTGACCTGTAGCTAATTAGGTCACCAAAGATCACAGACAGAGAATAGGTATCTGACTACGGTAAACTTTTAAATGTTACAGTTGGATTAAGGATGTGACCATACCATAAGTATTTTAATGTGTCATTAATTATCATAAGCATGCAATTTTGCATAGATATCATATGATGATATTTAACTTGTAAAGGTTTCATATTTATCCCACAGTGCATTTTTACTTTAAAAAACACACTTTTTCTTGTGTGATGGAGTATAAGGACTAAAGTACATCTCCTTGCTGATCGCCAAATATTTCCTTACAATACCAGTCTATATGAATGTATGTAGATTAAACAGGCTAAGTAGAGTGTTAAGTTTAAACTGTATTTATTTCTTGTAAAATACAATACATTATATTCCCAATACATAATCGGCAACTATTCGGAAACAAGTACTAAGTAGAGTGTTTATAGTAGTCAGAGGTGTGTATGACATGCTAGGCTGACCTATATCACTTGCTATCTTTCACAAGCATCTTTCGTAAATAATGCAACTTTAATATATAATATTTGGTGATGAGTTTAAATGGGATAAGTATGAAACTTTCACATATTAAATATCCTCATATAACTAATATCTATACCAAGTCGCATGCTTATCCCAAAATGCCTCAATCAGCGCATTTTAAAACATTGGCAACAAGCCGAACAATTGATGAAAACAATGAAATGGGTTAACTTAAACGATTAAAACAGATACAGGAGACGTTAAATAGCATTATCTTATACCTATAACATACAAAGTGTGGCCTGCACCTTTTAAGTCACTTAAGACAGAGGGGTATTTGAAATTGCCAAGTTTGAGATGTGTCCAGAAGCCATAACTATAAAACAAAAGGACAGTGTGTAGTGAATATGCATTTTATGTAAATGTACTCAAATGAGTAAAGTTGTGAATTTCAACATAAACATAAATTAAAAAGAAAAATTATCGAAAAAACAAAACACTTTTCTTTTGGAAATTACCTTAAAGTATATAAACAATATTTAAGCGACGATTAAATTTCTGTCGTTTTTCATTCTTTTATACAAGATATATGCCTGTTTAATTTAGACGTGTTTTAAAAAAGCAGAAATGGTATATAACAGCAAATGGTATATGTGATTTACTCTACCCGGTTTGGTACTTCAAAACCAACTTTCGGTCAAGCTTTTTTCTTAGTTTTTGCCTATGTTTTACAATAGGACATCTTTGAACAAATTAAAGAGGTGAAAGTCCGGATATACCGGGGCCCAAAAGAGGGCCATATAGAAACTCATCCTTTACGTCCGCAAAGTTTGTGAAAATAATGACATCTACACATACATGCATGGCCTTGGTAGATACAAGGAGTAAAACCTGTTGGTGGAAACGAATTTTCGAAAATATGTGGAATGAAAAGGAGAAAGCCAGTAAGCACGGGACGTGACGAACTGTTGAATAGCTGAAAGTATGGAATAGTGCCAGAATATCACTGCGCTGGCTGTGCTGGATGGTTCCATTTTCATGACAAATTTTAGAATCAACTTTAATTTGTACATAAAAGTAAGAGTGAATGTGTACATTATATGTTGAATATTGAGGATGTACATATATAAACTGCAATTAATAAGTAATACTCTCTCTCTCTCTCTCTCTCTCTCTCTCTCTCTCTCTCTCTCTCTCTCTCTCTCTCTCTCTCAATAATAGATAAATATAGTAATTCAAACTATGAAAGCCATCTAACGATGTGTATATACAATTATTTATCTTATAAGGAAAGGGCGTTCATAATGTTCATGTAACTTGTGCCCAATCCTTTTGCATTTTTTGTTTGCAATAAAATATGGTCAAACTAACCTGTTAGAACCAAACGTTCTGTTGAGATGATGACGCGGTGCTTTAGAATTAATGAGAAGGGTACTATACCTTAGCCCTTATCATGGTACATGTATTTAGCCAGCAGCTGCTGAAATATATTGATATACAACATCTGATGTAGCGCCCTATCTACAAAATGTAGCTAAAATGAGCCGCTCTAAAGCGCTTTGCAGTGCATTGATATACAGTTTATACAATCAATACAATTAACATACATATTTTGAGGAATTCGCAGAAGCTGCCTTATCAGGCGTTAACTACCACAGGGACCTGAGAATTTGTTACACCTATATTTGGACATATATATGTTCAGAGTAATTTTACACGTTTGGGGGGTTTAGATCGATTTTCGGTAAAAAAATAAAACAAAAAACAAAAAAAAACGCCACCCCCAATTATCATATAAAATCTATCTAAACCCCCCAAATGTTTAAAATTACTCTAAAAACCTTGGTTTAGGTCCAAATATAGCTGTAACAAACTATCAGGTACCTGTGCTAATTTCTAGTCCTTTGCCACCTGGCTAATATCTCCTAGCTTTGTGTGTATGTCTGCGTGTGTGCTGGAGATGTATTGCTAGACAGTTTGTGAAAGAAATACCAGTTAAAACAGGTGAATGTCTTCAGGCCCTTTATATCTCTTGTAATTATACTACATCCAACCAGAAAACAAATGAACATGGCAATACTTTTAAAGGTTTTGAAATTTTGACATTATGCTTTTCTGCTATACAGTTATTATAGACATAATAATATAATGTTAATATATCGCTGAAACACACGCACGTCCTTTACAAAAGAGTTCAAAAATAATATTCCAGTTCATAACAGTATTATTTTATTTTATGAACGACAAAAAACAGTTCCTAGGAGACAAAGAAGACGATTTTTGTTCACTTTAAGACGAAATCTTTAAGCACATCGACGGAAGGGAGACAACTGCTTGTAGATTGCACGTTTAAATATTATCACAAAACAATAGTATTTGGTTACAAGTACCGTGGAATGTATAATTCTGAGGAAAGGGGAATATTCGGACTGATAAAGAGAACGGATTCTTCGTTGTGTGTCTTAGATAATGAAGAAGATGAATTTCATTTTGTTCTAAAACATCCATTTTGCCGATTTGCGCAAGGCATTTATCAAACCTATTACCACATCACAGACGAACAAGTATGTATACATCGTATGTCCTTATTATAAAAGTTTATTTCTTAGCGGTCAAGACTCATGTACATGTAATTATTCCTGCCCATAAGAAACGTGTTTTAAATGACCCTAATCACTTTAGAGGTATCAGTTTAATCAGCTGTCTTTGTAAACTTTTTACCTCTGTACTAAATAAACATATTTTAGATGTGTGTAGAAAATATGACCTTATTACTGATGCGCAATTCGGATTTCGTCCAGAACTTAGTACGATTGATGCAATTATCGCATAACATTCTATTATAACGAAAACTTTATCTTCGAAGAAACGTTTGTGTTGTTGCTTTCTGGACTTTCGCAAAGCGTTTGATTTTGTTGATAGATTAAGCTTATGGCGTAAGCTGACTAAGCTTGGTATTCGAGGGAAAATGTTATCTGTCATTAAGTCATTTTACAAATCAGTTAAATCCTGTGTATCAATTAACGGTAAATGTTCTATTTATTTTGAGTACAATGTTGGATTAATGCAAGGGGAAATAGTATCTCCTTTATTGTTCTCAGTTTTTGTTAATGATTTTGAAACCTCGTTTATTGAAAATGGTGCGACAGACTATGACTTTGGTGAATTAAGTTTGTTTCTGTTAATGTATGCGGATGGCTTAGTAATGTTTTTCGAAACAATTGAAGGTTTACAGAGCCTTTTAGATGGAAATTAACAGTTAACACTGAGAAAACCAAAATAGTTGTATTTAGAAACGGAGGTCGTATACGAGATAGAGAAAGATGGATGTATAATGGTTTGGAGGCGGAAGTTGTAGATGTGTTCAGCTACCTAGGAGTAAAACTCAAATTCAATAATAGATTCAATCATATACAGAAACAGTTATCTGACCAAGGACAAAAGGCCATGTATGCTCTTTTTTCAAGCTCTTCTAACTTGAGCCTAGACTGTACAACGTTATTGCATTTATTTGATACGTATGTTTGCAGTAGATTGCATTATGCATGTGAGGTTTTGGGATCTACAAAAGGTACGGATATTGAGAGGTTACACTTACACTTTTGTAAGAAGATTTTAAAAGTTAAGAAGTCGACTTGCAATGCAATGGTTTATTTTGAATTAGGTCGACATCCTTTGGAATATATAAGAAAATTCAGAATGGCAAAATATTGGTTAAAACTAATGGATTCGAAAAATTGTATTTTGCAAACTGCGTATTCCTTTTTAAGTAGTAGCAATACAGGCAATTGCTTTAACTAGATTAATTTTGTCAAACATTATCTTGTTTCTCTCGGATTCGCAGATGTATGGACAAATTACTATTCATATAACCATAAAAGTATTTTGTATATGATAAAGCAAAGAATATTTAATCAAAGTCGATAATATCTGAGAGGGCTATCAGAAGCCTCACCTAAATGTATTTTATATAAGCACTTAGCAAATCACCATATTCTTCAAAACTATTTGACAAAGTACATGTATATTCCTATGAAATACCGAATCTGTTTATCTAAACTTCGTCTTTCTGCACATAATTTAGCTATTGAGACTGGTAGATACAATAACACAACGAGAGAACAAAGATACTGTATGAGCTGCAATTCAGATATAGAAGACGAATATCATTTTATTTCGATATGCAGAAATTATCATATTCTGAGAGTAAAATACATAAAACCATGTTACTGGCGAAATCCTTCAATGTATAAACTTGTACAGTTGTCAGTGTTGACAATATCAGCGATCTTCGTAAACTTGCTAGATATATTTTTGAGGCAAATAAGGCACAGTGACGTAAACATGCATATCAATATAATTTATATAAATGTCTATGTATGTATTATTGACATTTGTATCATTACGGATTACATGATGTTGTTGTTAATGTCAGATGATGTTGAAAATGTTGATGATGATGATGTTGATGATGATGATGATGATGATGTTGATAAAATGCGTGTATGTGTATTGTGTATTTCTTACTGTCATGATCTGTATAGCTGTAATAAATAAAATTGAACATGAACTTGGAAGTGAAGTGGAAGTAAGGAACGGAGAAAGATAAAGAAAAAGGAGGACAAACGGGACGAATGAAAAATGAAAGAAGAAGGAATGCTGGGTAGGAATAAAAAGCACACACCCATAAAACCAATTTTACATCAGTGTAGATATATACCTATCACAGTTGACGATAAACTTGCATACAGCTCAGCTTTCTTAATTATAGGGTGGAGAAGAAGGCGTCAAAAAGCCATCGTCACAAACTATACAGAACGACGCGTACGGCCTCGTGACATCTTTGTTACTCTTGTCCAATTTTCTCGTACCGGGTTCACTTTTTATTTGACTTTTCTTTTGAAATTGTCAAAAATGAAAACAAAAAACACACATTCTTTGTCAGGGTGTTATTCATGATCGCAGCTAGCTTCCCGGTCCTAGGTTTATCTTTAAATCACTCTTTTTACTGTGTTCAACCAGAATTGATTAGGTAGACCGTAAAAAGTCGGCCCTGTGGGGTTTTTATTTGTTCACATGCTACAATAAATACCCGTAATTTAATTGGACGTCAGACTAGCCATTAATACCGACAGTTATCATAAGCAATTCCATGTAAACTCTGACAACTGTCATCAAGAGACAGCTACATGTATGACAAATTTTACAAAATTCTTTGTATAGAAATATTAAAAGGATATTAAAGTTTATTAAATTGAAATATAAAATGAGGAAATTTTATGCTGACGTGAAAAGGTCTTTCGTGTTTTTAAAAGAAATGACACATCTATTGGTTCTTTTTAATCTATTAGTTCTTTTTAATATCGAAAACGCAAACTCGTAAATAGATGTTGTGCAGGTAATTTTGTTCATTTTAGATATTGTATTTCTATGTTGACAATAGACAATAAACTGTTGGACTTAATTTCCAAAATTCTGTCAGTGTCAGAGATCGTGATATGTCAATATAGTCATTATTTGTATATGTTTTGATGTGTAGATGGATTTACAACCTAACAGATAAGACACGTCACGTGCGCTGGTACTATTTCTTTTGAGGTGCCGACACTCAGGTATAACAAAATGGCAACCAGCCATTACTGCAACAGTAAATTTTCAGTTGTTTATTGGTGCAAAATTTTAAAAATCTTATCTTTTTCATGTCTGAGTGGTATGTCTTTGACGATTCAGTAATAAATCTTAATTTATTTTCACATCGGACACTGTAGTCGTAAAAGTTTACATTCGGACACAGTTCACAAACCATCTTTCGATTTTATCCTCAACTTGCAGTTATAGATGTGCTGTGAAGCGTTAACGCTGATCACTCGTAAATATATCACAGACAACAGCAGACAATGTCACTGACAGTATTTATATCGCCTACCGGGCACACGTAACACTGTGTCTGGAGATGGTTATCACAAAGGTGAGTAAAGTCGCCACAGAAATTAATCAGTAATAACATATACCTGTATATAATACGTGTGTGGTAGGGGTGAAGTCACACAGACCGTCTATCTGCATTAGCATACCTGTGTCAGAACCGATTCCGTCAACTCGCCTTGAAAATTAGACAGATTGAAATCGAACGTGACCCAATTCATTGATTATTTCACCTTTGTGTACACCTGTGTTTAGTACCTGTTATTTTTTTTTACGTTTACCTGTCGTGTTTTTTTCTCTTCCTTTTGAATACGTGCATTGTTAGAGTCAAATCTCGAGACCACTCCGTGAAAAGGCAAACATTATGAGCACACAAATTAATCTGTCGAGTGTTTATTGGGCGGATATATTTGTAAATACCTTTAACAAACCTACCCGTCCGACAGAGAAGACGCATCAACACATTTAAACTCTGAGTCAACAAGAACCGCTGGTCGAAGCTAAAAGGATGAGGAGACCCTCTTACTGACCATTAGAGGAAAGTAGATATTTATACCTACACTCTCCACTAAGTACACTTGAAGGTGTGAGACGCCAGGTGTAATTTACGGCTAAATGTATTTATAAACAGTGACAATTTCCTGCTCGAAAAACTGCGGGACCGCCCAGGCTGTGACAGTTAGCTACACTCATTGCTGGAAGAGAAGGGTAAGTTTCATGCATTATTTTGTTTTGTTCAATTTGAAACATCTTACTGCATGCACTAACATAATATATATATATATATATATTCTTAAACTGATGAGTATTGCATGACAAGTATGCGACATGGTACGACATATGTCTCACGATGCTAATTTAACTCACAGGGACCTGAGAATTTGTTACAACTATATTTTGACCTAAACCAATGTGTACAGAGTATGTTTACATGTCTTAGAGGTTTAGATAGACTTTCGGTTCGGGGAAAATGCCCCCACCTGCTTATCGTATATATAGGCATTGGGGGTGGCATTTTACTGATAGTCGATATAACCCCTAAAACGTGTGATATTACTCCGAACACCTTAATTTAGGTCCAACTATAGCTGTAACAAATTAGCAGGTCCCTGTGATCTAACTGTAATAAACTTACCACAGGGACATGGGAATGTGTTGCAGTGGATATGTTTGAACCTTGAATGATGTGCCGAGAGTTATATTATTTTAGGGGTTAAGATCAACTCTCGATAAAAGGACACCCCACCTCCACCTAAATGATGGTATATTCTTTAGTTCCCCCGAATGTACCAGAGGGACTTCTTATATTTACATACATTAGATATATAACCACGGAGTGCTAAGCCAGTGATATAACGAACCATTTAATGTACTTGGTCCCTGTGGGATGGCCATAAAAGGCACAGGGGCATGAGACATCAGACGTGGACTAATGGAAATCAGAGACGTATAAAACCCAATCAGTGTAATTACAGGAATCGTTATGCACAGTCGTGGATAACTATATACATGTACATAGCAGTTGGACAAATAGGATCGCGAATGATGGATAGTATTGCTAAGGCTCCTGAGATACATTAAATATCAAGTACATTAGTTATCCTTTTTTTTTGCGATATGTACTTATGGTGTAGGTATACGGGTCGTTATAAATATTGCCCAATCCATGGTATGGGCTGTTACGCACATGCGACACAGCTGTTAGCTGTGCATATATACAAACCATATTCCGGACCCGGTTCCTCAGGCTGATGAGGATATTGGGTTGATTAAGGGATAAGATATTGAAAACTTCAAATGATAACATCTAAATACACAGGGGCGGGATGCATGATATATTGGTTTGTGTATATACAGGGGGGTCGTACACAGGGACCTGAGAATGTGTTACAGTTATATTTGGACCTAAACTAAGGTGTTCAGAGTAATATTACATGTTTTCCCCTAAAACATGTAAAATAACTCTGAAAACCTTAGTTTAGGTCCAACTATAGCTGTAACAAATTCTCATGTCCCTGTGGGGTCGTAATGAAACTATATATGCACAGGGGCCAGTGACATTAGATGAGTTTGTATAAAGACAGGGGTCGTAATAAAGTATATTAACACGTATTTCATGTATCAGGCCCCTGTGTATACAATAGGTATATGATCAACAATGTATGTATACGTGGTTCTACCTATGGCGTATTACATATCATTCGGTAACTAAAATAAGTCGTATATGTCAGGTCGAGTATCCGACACTGTTTTTAACTGTTTGTAGGCATTTCTGCTAAACTGATGTCATTTCCCCTGTATTCAAACATGGACAATTATAACTTAAAGACCCTTTGAAGGAGTTAAAACAGCCTAGAAAATGCAATGCAGAAAAGCAAACATCGAGACCGGAAGTGCATTGGATAAGCTTCCCACAGGTGATTGCAACCCCGTTAGCGGCAATTTTGTTTTGTTTTGTGAAATAGGAAATGCAATCAATATATTTCTTCTGTAAAATATATATACAAAAAAATGTAGATCGATCCGAACCCCATCTTGGCTATCATGGCTGTAAGCTTTGCCTCAACCAAAACTAGATGAAATGCCCCTCTTTAATTATATTGAGTACTGGTCGAGCTCCTAGAAATTGACCGATGCTGCTATAATATTTATGTAGACAAATGCGTGTCACGTTTCGTATTGTATAGAGGGACGGTTCCCTGGAAAGTGTATTGATTTGGACGTGTCACGCTAATGGTAGGCTCGCCGGACAAACATGGCGACCGGCTAGCTATCGAATGTTTGTCCAATTGAGATGTAAATATGTGCTCTAAACACCCGAGTTGACCTGAACAACGTAAGCTCTGACCATCGAGTCGGTTAACGATGTTTACTTTGATTGTATTCAAGAGAACGCCATTGTTTGGGTATTCTTATTTAAAACGACTCTAAATCTGTATACGCGGTAATTATAGGTCCGTAAGGGTATAATGGAATGCTTTTGACATCACAGAGAGAAACCGTTAACTTTGATTTTATGACTAGGCACGACCTAGCTGTTCTACATTAGCTTTAAAAGAACATTATGGCAACGGCCATCGATATATAAAACGTTCAATACTATTGAATAGTATCCTAAATGAAGTTAATTCAATGTCCCCAGCCTTTCATATAAATATCTGTGGTCAATATGGCTCCATGACCGATATCAGATACAGACAAATAATATCTGCTTCTCGAAAGCAATTTCGCTCTCTAAAGGGAAAACGTTTTTCGCCGATAACTAACACCCAATTAGCAATGTACATCTATATATTCTTAATCGCCCAAAAGAAACATCGCTTGTTTTAAGATCGTTTCGTTGATTTTACCAGCAGCTAGCTAAAGATGGAATTTTATTGAAAATATCTTGGAATGATATTAATCTAACTACAAAACTTCGTATGTCTGCACATTCTTTGGCAATCGAAACCGGTCGTTATAGAAATATCGAGCAAATTGTAAGTCGACTACTGAAGTAGAAGACGAATATCATTTTTTATTAATATGTTATATGTACAACGACTTAAGAAGCCAATATATCAAAAAATACTTTTGGTAAAAACCTTCAATGTTTAAATTAATACAGTTATTGTGTGTCAATGACAACAAGGAATGAAGCCGTCTCGGCAAATTTAGTTTTGAAGCAAATAAGATAAGAGCTGTATTTCTTTAACTCGTACTCCACTTTTATCTTGCTGTTTCATATTCTTATTATGTTTTGTATGTTATATATAATATGTACTCATGGGCCGTAAAGCCTACAGTCAATAAGTTGAACTGAATTGAACTACACGGAACATATCATGTACATCGGTAGCTAACACATTCCTCCCTTTGCCTCTCATAATTCCCCGCCCCCCGCCCCTCCCTTCGCCCCTCCCTTTTCATATTCAACTGAATCTTTGTTTTAAACATATTTGGACCTAAACTAAGGTGTTTTGAGTAATTTTACAGTTTTTAGATAGACTTTCGGTAAATATATATGATCACTGGGGTGTGATTTACTTTCGGTAATAATCACACGTCAACGATCATATATATTTACCGAAAGTCTATCTAAACCCCTAAAATATGTAATATTACTCTGAACACCTGAGTTTAGGTCCAAATATAGCTGTAACAAATTCGCAGGTCCCTGTGGACTGGTAATAACGAAACATGCCACTTAGAAGGTTGGGTAACGGTAAATTTTAACACCTTCTCTCGAAAAGGCGAATGTGATGCAGTGTAAAAATGGCCATTCTTTACCGGAGGACGGTCTTCTTGCCCATTAGAGCCCCTCTTCTACCTCGAATTATTGCTTTGCCGTAATAGCAACTTAATGTTTCGTAATAACGAAATATATTGCATGTTGTTTTCTACGAGCTGTCGTTAGACACTTGTATATTACAAGATGGTAAGTCGTGAATAGAACTTTTTTTCCAGTTACGTGGTATGCGACGTCACGGAATTAGATTAGTCCGTGGCGACGTTAAACAAACATGCTTGTATCTTTACTATTAGAACCGGCTTCCATAGGTTATTCAATCGACCGATATTTTCGTGTGAAATACCAAATTTGTACCTATTTTTATAGAGTCATTCCTTTTCGTATCACAGTGATGATTTTTTCAAACCGGATGCGACTGAATAATCAAAGGAAATAAATTTTAAATATAACAGTAAAAATTAATACGTGAACATTTGGCAACCGGTAACTGCGTTGATCAGTGACAACTATATGGCGTTATCCCCTTAGCATACTGCGCTGGTGCATGAAATGTTCGAGTCAATGGCCCGTTAAATCGACTAAGCCGTGTTACGCAATGCTGGTTTCCGGGTGCCGATTGTTACAAGCATAGTCAGCTTAGGTCACCTTTTTTCCAAACAATATTTCTTTTATCTGTTTATTTTAGATTTATAAACAGATCTCGTTTTCAAGTTCTCGTGTGTTTCTTTTATTCATGAAATCCGGTATTTAGAATTAAAAAAACGGTTTGAAAAAATATTTCATATATCAAATACATCCGCTATCTTGGTAAGTTGACCATGGTTTAACATCTAGACCCTGTTTTATTAATTCTGGTAGTTACCCATGGATTGCTGTCTGTGGTAGATTTTCACACGTTCTGAAAACGCGGAAAGATACGAGCGTTTTACGGTTACACGTGCATTACATGTTTTGAAATGGGTTGCACCAGTTGGCAATCGTCCAGGAGAGTGTTGCATTGCTGTTAATTCCCTCTCCGTTTTTATATGTATTTCCACAACAGATGTTAAGTGCTCATGGCTTATATTTAGTCATTCTTCAAAATCCCGTACATCGCAGATGTTTCGGCGGCAAATCAAATACGACTCAATTGTAGTGTAAGTCCATCCAGTAATACTAGGCAATGATGCTTTAAATTGCCTCACTAATAAAATCACACGGACAGCTAACATCGGTTAAAATTACAACGGGATTTCCCACGTGAATGATGCACGAGCCTTATTTTACGAGAAGAAATTTGTGAATTAATTTCCGATGTTGGTTTCAGAGTCTGTCGATGTCAGTTTCATTCGTGTGGATTTCCTGTAGAAAGTATGTTGTTGTGTGGTATCTCTCGTTAATCGATCGGACGATGACTCAGTCGGCTGTAATGATAAAAAAGCATAACATTGCAACGCTGTTCCCCTCCCTCCTGCTATAGCGAGCTGTATCTCATGAC